AGGAAGAATCAACCCAGTCATTAATTGCGTGGAGAATAATTCTTTGCGGATAAGGAGGCAACTCCTTCTTATCAGTAAATATATAATGGTTCCTCCATTTCCAGATAAACCAGCATGTGAACAAGAACACAGAGGACCAAGGCAGACCAGCCCCCCAAGTAGCCTTAGAGCACAAATTCCCCATAAGCCAGATTTGCAAACTAGTAGTAGATAGGTTAGAGAGTTGTCTAGGAGTGCAGACAGCGTCCCAGACCTTTATGGCATTAGGACACTCTCTGAAGAGATGGAGGACAGATTCAGAGTGCCAACCACAGAGGCTGCAAGAAGGGTCTGTGGTTAAGTTTCTTTTAGTTCTCTGTTCGTTTGTCAGGATTTTGTCTTGGTACGCCAACCAGAAGAAGACTTTCAGTTTAGGAGGAACATTAATTTTCCAAAGCACATCCCAGAAGGGATCAGAACGACCAACGTCTCTGAACAACAAATCATAAGCAGATTTGACAGTGAACACACCATTAGCGGTAGAGTCCCATATATGAATGTCCCTCAGGTTAGTACCAAAACCAATAGGGTAACTAACAATCTTTTGGACCAAATCCTCACTGAGCATAGTTCTCAACTTATCAACATCCCACCAGTCGTCTTTCATGAACTCAGAAACTGTACAATCAAGTTGGGCAGGCCTTACGATACCTTCATGCTGGATGAGAGGGATGTTAGAGATCCACCTATCATTCCAGAAATGGACACTGTCCCCTTTACCTATCCTCCAAATCATACCTTGCCTGAGTAACTCAGCTCCATGTAAAATACCTCTCCAAGTGGAGGAGCAGCCCTTTTTTCCTTGGAGAGTGTTCTCTAAGATAGAATGGCCCTTCATATATTTTTCTTCAAAAATTTTTGCCCACAGTCCCGGGTCCCCTCGATGGAGTCTCCACCCCATTTTAGCCAATAGAGCTTGGTTCATATCTGAAGTTTTTTTGAAGCCCAGGCCCCCTTTGTTCTTGGGGCGGCAAGCTAAGTTCCATTGGCATAAGTGAGTCTTTTGTTTTGTCCCACTTCCCCCCCAGAAAAAGTTACGATTTAGGCGGTCCAAGCTATCACACGTGCTTGCAGGGAGTTTGACAGTTTGCATAGCATAGACAGGGATTGAGGTCTAGTCAAATTTTCAATAAACCTGTTGCTCTACATTAGGAATCGGTACCAGATTCTGCCAAACTGCCACTTGTCGTTTGATTCTCGGTTAGGGTGACCGAACCCATGCATAAAGACGAAATGGTCACAAACCTTTATTTAATTTAGATAATTTTATTACACAATATGTTGGATGCCTCTAACTGGTTTTGTGTTCATGAATGAATTTCAATTTTGGGTTTTACTGAGCTTTCCTTTTTTTTGGGCGCTATTTAAATTTTGAGTTTGATGTTCATTACTGATTTGTCTGGTTTCGGGTTCATAACTGATTTCAATTTTGGGAAATAGCTGATCATCAAATTCCATTTTAGTTTACTAGAGTTTATATTTCAAACAGTTTCTACAATCAACAATTTAAAAGAACAATTGTTGGAGATAAAATGAAATTTCTGACTTGTCACAGTTTTAACATAAAATAAAATAAACATACTGGTGAAGCTCCACATTAGCACGAAAAATTATATTGATTGTGGTTTTCAACAATTTTCAAGTATAGTTGGTTGGAATTTTCTTCAAGGCCATGAAAAAACCTTATCATTGTTCATATGTTTACAGAATTTGCTTTTCGAAGTATGAAAGTAACATGAGATAGCTTCATGCTTGGTATAATTTCTTGATATGATCCCAATCTCATGCTTGACGGCCCGCATTGGCAATGTAAGAGAAATCTGGTTTGCCATGCACAGATAACTTGAAATGACGAATAAAACAAAACATATCAAGCATATATGCATAGATACTAGCTATATAAGAAATTTTCTTCTGTCAGATGGACTAAAAATATGAGATGCTTGTGTTGTTAAGCAAAGAATATAGACCATTGATTAAGTTTCTGACTGTTAATGTGGTTCAAATTAACAGTTTGAAACCATAGACATGCAGAACTAATTCTCACAAAAGAACATCATGCAATACTTCAAATTAGGAATACGGAGGGTCATATTTCCCAAATATTAATTATTTCTTTATCAAAAAACCTGAAACTGGTGTCTCATGCATAAACAGATGAAAAAACAAGTAGAAGCCGCAAAGGCTCATTGCACTACATGATTTCTTTTCTATAACATAATTCAGCCACCTAGAGCAAAACTTCTGAGAACTCAGCATCTAATGATCATAAATTCTTAAAAGCTGATTCCTGAGTTGCTTTCTGTGGAGTCAGTCTTGCTAGCAAAGCCTTGTTATGGCAATGATCAGGGTCGACGAAGTAAAAGTTCCCATTGGCCTTAAAAGTCACAAAAGGCCTATTGGTTTCTGCTGGCCGGATATCAGAAAACTTAATGGTCCTTGGAATGTATGTTGCAAGCCATGACAACATTTCCACCTCAAAACTGTCTGAACCAGGCTTCCATCTCAGCTTGTGGATGTATGGGGTCACGAACCAGTGAAGGGCAGCTGTGGTAGAAGCACTCAAGAATATCACTGAAGATGCCACAGCACCTTTCAAGATCACATTCATACCCGGAGATGTCATAAAGGTTATCACCGGGCCTAGAGAGACAGAAAGGCAGCAGGTTGAAAGCGAGAGAAGTTTCACTTTCTTTATAGTAGATGAGATCGGACCATAGTAGACAACCCCAGAGTCTTTTCCATCTTCCCCAACTTCGCCACCTCTACGTGGTCCAATGCTGATTTTCCCATCATCCTCTTTTGTTGTGGCATGAGAAGCCCATCTTTTCTGGGAAGCATTGATATCAAAGCCAGAGTTGAACCCGAATTTGGTGTTCAGGCCAAGTGCCCAGGCTCCAGACCTACAAGGTTGATAACCTGAAGCAAAGGATTTTACAACCAATAATAGTAACAAATGCAAGTATAAGAAGTAGACGGAAAATGATATTTCGAATAGCAAAAGAATTCAGAACCAAAAAAGTTGAAAAAAGAAGAAGAGGGGGCTATATAAAAAAAATAGAAAAGGACTGAGAGAATGGGATTTACAGGTAGACACAAAGTTAAGGACAATGCAAATTCCTGAAAAAATACATTGGAATCTCATGGATTGAACAGTAGGCTAGCTAAACCACAGATGCTACAATTTTGGCATATCAAATACAATTTCAAAATGCGACAATGAATGCACATAAGCTTCAATCAAAAGAAAAGAGAGTAGATTAATAACTATGATCATAACATGAAACCAAAAACTAAACTAAGTCGTTGCTACACTAGGAGAAAAAGTTAGGAGACTGAAGATTGTTTCTAGAGCATCATTTACATTTACCATATCCAAAACAGTGTGTTAGAACTTAGCAGTTATACACTACAAAACCGTTAATTATGCTCGGAAGAGCAAAACTTGATTCTTGGCCTCTAGCCCGAGAAAATTGTCCAATTGCCAGAAAACAATATTGTTTAAAGGAAAAAAAAAAACATTCTTAATTGATTTTGGAAAAAGGGTTTCCAAGAATAATAGTGAAGAACAATTTGGGTGCACAGAAAGATGTTTTTCTATCAACAAGTTTACAATAACTACAGGGTTGAGGAAAGGCTGAAGGAGACCAAAGGCACATCCTTTTTGCCAAACCGAGTTTGCCTAAACCAGAAGATAAGCAAAAGTGCCAAATTATTCACCAAAGTAGAAGATCCAGAATATGGTGTCTGTGCAAACCGTTATTGAAATGAAAATAAAGAAATTGGGTAAATTGAGCTTCTTGTTGTAACGCTTGTGAATTGGTCAATTCGGTTCTTAATATTTTACAATCATTTCGACAATTTTGGAATGAAAAATGAAAACCAGGGGTAGACAGATATAGAGATCTTAAACCCTAAACCCTAATAGATAGAGAAATTAAGCCAACATGTAAGGAAGGAAGGAATGAAGAAGAACCTGAAAGGAAGTTTGAGGATGCGAGCTGCTTGGACTGTGATCGCAGTAAGTGAAAGAGAGCCGCCCTCGTCATTTTTGCTCCACTTCTCCACTCTAATTCTGAGCTGCACGCAAAAACCAATTTTCAGGGTTTAACATTGATTCCTCATATTTCGACCCTGAAAATTGATTCCTCAAAAAAAAAATTAAAAATTAAAAATTAAAAATTCCACTAGAAAAATACATATATAGTTTAATAAAGTTGGCCAATAGAACAACAACGGGCATTTGGTCTAGTGGTATGATTCTCGCTTAGGGTGCGAGAGGTCCCGAGTTCAATTCTCGGAATGCCCCATGTTCCTTTTTTTGTTCTTTTTTTGTTTTGTTTCAAGCTTTCGTTTTCTTCACGCACCCGTCATTTTGTTCTAGTCTTTCTAGAATCTAGATAAACCCCTCCTCAGCTCCATCAATACCGTCTCTTTCGCGCGTTTAACCTTTTTTCTACTTTGACTGTTCTTCCAAATCCAGACTTCCAGTTAGTCTTGATTTCCCTGTCTTTTCAATCAATTTTCTAATACCACTTCCTAGTTCATCCAGAAGCTTTACAATTTTAAAACCTTCAACAACAACGCCACGTCGCCACCACCACCACCCTCCATTTCTAGAAGGAAGGCCCACTTTCTCACTCCACCCATCCATATATATACACATATAACCTCTGTCCCAATTATCAAACACCAACAGCAGCAAGCAACAAGCATCAACTTCATCCCTACCCAAATCATCAAAATGGAAAACTTCTCCGATTTTGAACAACAACAACAACAACAACAACAAGAGGTTGAAGAAGATGCACTCTCTCTTTGTGATCTATTACTCAATGATGATGGTGATGAATCAGTAGAAACCCCAAAAACCTCTCCCTCTTCTTCTTCTGACCCAGCAGACTTCTTTGAATTCTGCGTCGACCCAATCTGTGGGTATCTCCCCATGGACGTTGTTTTCTGCGGAAAGTCCATACTTTGCTCAAAACCCATCACCCTTCCAACCCCAGAGCCTCAAATCAAGAACCCTTTTTTCTCCAGATCCGAATCTCTCAGATTCTCACAGGCCTCTGCCCCTCCAGCTCGTTCGGATCCGGTACCGGCAACCGGGAAATGCCGGTCGCCGTCGAGCAATTCACGGAAGCACAAGGTGTTGATAGGATTGGTGAAGTACCAGCCGGAGATGGACTTGAGTGAGATAAGGAAACGACAGAGTCGGCGCGCTCCGGCGCCGATGTTCCCGGTGATGAAGGGTGGGGAGCAATCGGCTTTAGCCGATGGAAAGAGTGGGTCCGCGAAAGGGCACTGGGGTCTGATGAGGATGGTTAGGTGTCGGTTCCACCTGTTGAGCACGAGAAATTATACAATACTACCGTAGCACCAGCTGGCGTTGCTGAGTGGTACTACGGTCCAATAAGATTCAGCCATGTGTACAGCTTATACAGTCGGCAACAAACTTAATAGACTGCCGTTAACCCTTAACCACCGCCATCGCTGCAAATATTGACCCCTTCGCCTCCCACATCAGGCTCAAAGCCTTTGCCTTTTTGGGTAATGACCCAATGTCAAATAATTTTGTTGCACAGCAATTGGTCAAAAAATATTATTGCATAGAAATTTGTTGATCTAATCTTAGATCTGAAATATTGACGCAATCAGGGTCTAAAAGCCAGCGTTGGGAGGACTTCAAGCTTTTGGGTGGGCATAACCACATGTTGTTTTTTTAACGTCGGCACTAACGGCAAAACTTTATGGTTCTGTTGACATGTCTAAGTTGTACACATGGCTTAATCTTATTGGATCGTAGTACCACTCAGCAACGCCAGCTGGTGCTACGGTACTATTGTATAATTTCTCGTTGAGCACGTTGGCCAAGGCGACTCTTGGGCGTGTGCCACGTGTCACTGTGTGAGATTTAGGTCTTATTTGGGCTGCTGATAATTAAATTTGTTTATTGGTTTTGGTTCCTAGCTTGAAGCTTCGTCATGTACATAACAAATATTATTATTAGTCCACATATTTTTCGGTTCTATTCTGTTAGTAATTATTTTTTGTGAATTAGTTCCATGGTTAGTGGTTAAACCTTTTGTTAAACTGCCTCGAAATCAATCTATAAGTTGATAACAAAAAACAATAACATAATGAAAGTGGAAGAAGCCTAATACATTGATCACTTCAGTTAATTATGTCGTTTAGTCACTGAGTTTATCTCAAAAGTTATGTTTTTATCTTAAGGATCATTCGTTAAAAAAAAATCAATCAAACTTGAATCTTAAAATTGTGGTTACATATATAAATAAAAACAAAATTTTCAGTAAATACACAAATGATTTATCAAATTTCCTAATCATATATTCAACTGGACTGATTTTTCTCACTATAATTCATGAATGAATCTTAAACGTACGAGTCAATACCACATATGATCTTTGGTGAATCTGCAACAAGGTGAGTGAAGGCGATCACTCCCACTGCCCTTGTTATTAGACATAAAATTACTTGTCATTTGCCAACGGAATCTAACCCAAGAGAAAATAACCTTGATTTGCATATCGTAGGGTCTTAGAGCATCTCTAACAGACTCTCTATCCTCTCATCCCTAGCTAATTTGGCAAAAAAGAAGGAAAATCCTCCTCCAGCAGACTCCCTACTTGGCTCTCTATTTTGGAGAACCAAGAGATAGAGACATTTGGGAGGTTGGTGGGGTTGGGTTTCTACTTTTTTTTATAAATATATTTAAGAGATTTTCTATTTAAACCCCACACTTCTCTTTGTTCACCCCAATACTTAAATCATTAAGCTGTAAGTTTTATTATTGGGTAAAAAGACAAAAAAGGTGATCCAACTTAATAATTAACCCTAGTACATCTATACACACACCCCACCACTCTTTATATTAAGTTTTAGAAAAATACAAACTCCTCTACATCCTATTTAAATTGAATCAGGACAAAGGTAAAGTATAAATTGGATCATATCAGGACAAACTCCTCTACTTGGAAAGAGGTAAAGTTGTTCTCTTTCTCTCAAAAATATTAAATTTCGGGTTTGGGGTTCCATTTGTTTGTGTTTTTTTTTGCTAGGAACAAAAAAAAATTGTGGGGTTTAAATAGAAAATCTCTTTTATTTCTTATTTTTTTCAGTTTGAGGTATATTTAAGGGTAGTTTGGAAAGATAGTGGGGTTTTCTTAGAAATTGCGAAAATTTAAATTAAAAGATGGGGTGAACTTAGAACATGGGGTAAACTAAGAGAAGTGTGGGGTTTAAATAGAAAATCTCTATATTTAATTTGTAAGAGACAGAGGGAGAAAGAGAAAGAGAAAATAATAATAAAATATTTCAGATTAGCTAAAATAGAGAACATAGCTGGAGGAAACACCTTTTAAGTGATTTGCTATAATAGCTTTCTAGCTATTTTAGCTAGAATTTGGCTAAAATTTGGAGACTCTCCTAAAGGAGATACTCTTAAGTTCAAACACTCATGACACTTTGGTAGTAGTGTGTGAGAGAGAGAGAGAGAGAAACCCCCTCCTCCTATAGCTTATACTATATATTAAAAAATTACTCGACATTTCTATAATGTTTTCTTAGAGTATAGTTATTGTGAGAGCAAGATATGTGACGAAATGCTTCGAGAGCTTTAATAGATGTTTTAATTGGAATCCTATAGATGTTCTCCTCCTCCTCTAAATTATAATAATTTTTTTTTTAACTCATGTCACATTTTAACTCGACTATATATAATGCATAGGACATTTCATCCTCATCCCACCAAAAAATAAAAACCTATAGGTTTAACTTTGAAGAGCATAAATTTCCCACAAGAAACCAAAAAAAAATTGCAATCCATTCCGCAAATGAAATTACAATTCCACGTTATCTTATTTATTTATTGGTACAAAAGAAAAAGGATTCCAGCTGACTCAGTTGCACTCTTCTAGTAGCTCCTACTCGCTTTGTCAACTATATTTGTATTTGATTTTCCCTCCTTCCAGAAGCCTTAGCCCCCCACCAACGCAAACTCTTCCTCCCTCTCTCTCTCACAGTCACTCACTTCTAGAAATCCTCAGCTAATTAAGTAATTAATTATGCTAATTAAGTAATTAATTATGCTAATTACCTTGCTTAAGGAACCACCCTCCTCTCTTTCTTCCTCTCACTAATTTTCAACACCCTCCTCCTCCAAACACCAACCAACCATATATAAAGCCCATTTCCTCATACTCTTTCTCACACCATCTCATTCATTTCTGCTCTCTTCACCTTCCCTTAAGAAAAAAAATGGACGACATAAAAAACAACGCAGTCCCACAAATGGACGACGCGGACGACACCCTCTCCTTCTGCGACTTCTCCCTCTACAACGACGACTACGACAACTACTCGCCGTCTCCCCGCCAATACCCGGACACCCCGGAAAGCTTCTTCGAGTTCCTCATCGACCCGGATTTCGAAGCAGTGGGCCCCACGCTCGACGCCATCGTCTTCTGCGGCAAAACGATCGCCTACGATGCCCCCCAAAACCCAAAGCAGCCCAAATTGGTCCAGAGGGACCCACGAAACGGCCTCTTCCTCTTCAAAACCAACTCCTTCAAGAGGTCCCACAGCTTCCGATCGACCCTCGATCGGTCCATATCCTCGCCGTTCAAGCCCAGCTCACCGGCCACCAGTTGCTGCCGGTACCAGAGCAGCAAGTCCCGCAAGCATAAGATGGTTCTGATCGGGTCGCTGGTCAAGCCCCAGCCCAAAATGGAGCTCCGCGACATCAAGAGGAGGCAGAGCCGGCGGGCCCCGAAGCCGATGTTCCCGGTCGCTAATGGAACCGAACTGGTTGCCGCCGCACCCGCCGATGGCGGTGGGGCCCACCACAAGGGCCTGCTTCGGCCGCTCAGGTGCAGAGCCCACCTCGTGAGTGCGTTGGTTAAGGCGTCGTTTGGTTGCATTCCGTCACCAAAGCCCCTGTAAAAAACACCATTCCCGCGCGTGGACTTGGGCCTTCATTTCACACTTGGAGGATTTTTCCGTTTATTCATTTTGTGTATTTTTTTAGTGCTATTTTTTATTTTTGTACAATGATATTTTTTGCTTGGTGATGTATAGACTAAGTTTTTATTTATTTATATATATAAAAAATAAACAAATAGTAATGATAATTTCCTTGGTCATGTATGGTCTAAGCTTAAATAGTCAGAATTGGTGTGTCTATCTAATTATATAATCTTTTTTGTGGGTCTATCTAATTTTCTTTTTGGCAGGTTGAGTTGTCTGATCTAGTTCAAACGTTGAAATTACAATTTTTTCAAAATGTGAGGCCATCTACCTTCTACAATAGTAGTAGAATGAGTGTGTAGCATGTTGATTTCAATAGTATTTTTTACACACAAATGAAGTTAAGATGAGCATGACAAACACTAAATAACAAGTTTTTTTTATTTTAATTATAAAAAATGCAATATAATTGTATTAGATTAATAGGAATAATAGTACAAATGACATAGAAATGTAAAGGGAGCTATCCCAATAACAATATGGCAGACATGGTTAAAACTTATCTAGTTACTTGAGTCAATTGAAAAGCTGAAACGATGTATAGAGAATCATTCCCGAAAATGACTTTTCTATAACCTCTCTCAACCGCCATAATTTCCCGAAATATAGTCCAATGACATTAAGGACAAAAATTAAACGCTAACTGGCATGACTCTCCTAGAGATACTAAGAACACCAAGCAAACTCAACTAAGTTTTTGGAATCATAAGAGAAAAAACTCAGAATTTTTGGACCTTATTGAACAAACTAAAACAACGTCGGCAAAAGGAAAACTAACCGCATGACATAGAGAGCGTCACCTAATTACTCCTGGGTCTCAATGCACCAATGAGCAATGAATCTACTATAATCAAGCCACAGCACCTCAAAGAGTAGACTCGCAAGATGAGCCACAACCAAAGCCAACCCATATATGAGATAATGTATCTACTAAATGAAGAATAGATCAACATAAGTCCACCAAAAGCCGAAAACACCAAAGATCTGACGGATCCAGCGGAAAACCCCCCTGATCTAAAGCGTTCTCTCTCTCTTTCTCTTCTCAGCATACTAAATAGCACGTTATAAGTACAACAGTAACACGTTACCTGCAGTTTAATATATTAAATATATTTCATTATTAAGTGGATTAAAACAATGAAAATGAAGCAATTTTATTTTAATCAATAAGGTACAGATTTTAATTCGGAACTTCTTCCAACATTTAGAAAAAAAGAGTAGTGCTACTAAAAACATTACTATAGGCGTTACTTTCTTGTTTTGCATACATATATATCTTTCAGAGCAAACTTGACAATCAATGATCTTGCATTCTATTTGAGAGGGTACAACATGAACTTCCACAAATTATTATTAATGAAATTCAATTTGATTTGTTATACCTCTTCACAAAATCAAAACTGCACAATTCATTCACCAATTTTCTCTTCAAAATGAACAAGAAAGATAGAAGACTTGGTGGCTTGATGGCTTTTTGATGATCACGTTTTCAGAATCCACAAGTGGATGGCTTTTCCCGTTTATTAATTATTAATTATTTTTTTCATATCCGTACATGGGCTGGAATTTTTATTGTGCCCCCTGAGTTCTCGACCCTGAGCCAGGGCTGGTGGATAGCTTCGCTTTGCAGCTGAGAGGGAGGAGGAAGAGGACGTTTTTTTTCATATCCGTACATGGGCTGGAATTTTTTTTTGTGCCCCCTGAGTTCTCGACCCTGAGCCAGGGCTGGTGGATAGCTTCGCTTTGCAGCTGAGAGGGAGGAGGAAGAGGACGTAGACGAAGTAGCCATGAGGGAGAGAATAGACATCACAAGCCCCTTAAGTTGGAAGGAATAAGATTCCTTAGTAAAGAAGAAATCTAAATAAATATGTACAACTAAATTACAAGTATTAAGTGGTAATTAAGGAATCCTAATTAGGTTAGGGTTTTATCACCTCCTTAGATATATATACACCCAGACTCTCTCTCTCTCTCTCTTCAA